CAAACTTTCCAGGTACGGAGTTCTATGTGTACACTATAATAAAGATTTAATATAGACATCACCCGATTGGGCACCATGGATAAAGTGTCAGCCTGTGAAACTGAAGAGATCCCGAGATTGAATCCCCAGAGAAGAGCACAAGCCTGAAATGCAGAGCTCGATCCCCCAGCGCGAGAGTGTGCAGGAGGCAGCCCCATCAAATGGTTCTCTCTCATCGTTGATGTTTCCTCTCTCTCCCTCGCCCCTCCTCTCTGATATAATACAAATATGATAAAGGTTTAAAAAACCAGTTCATATGGAAAATGCAGTCACAATCAGCAGGAGACCCCCCTGGCCGTGCGCTCACAGTGGAGGTTAGGGGAGACCAGCCTGCAGAGCACGAGAGTTCTAGGGGCAGGCGGTCTGCCGTGAACCGGGAGGTTGCCCGTTTGAACCGATGCTGCTGTCCCTCGGCGTGTGGGAGGTCCCAGGACGGGGTTGAAGTGCCATCCGTCACCGCTGGGGTTTCCCCCCTCGTCTTTTCTCTCTGGCGTTTATCGGGCACTTCCTGTGTGCTGGGCATGCTTTGATTTCTTTAGATGCATCAACGATTAACTTGTTTAATTCTTACAAAAACACCGAAAGGTCCAGAGAGCCTGAGCCACTTGGCCGAGCTCACAGAGCCGGGGGGTGGGGACAGGTTCGGACTCAGCATGTCGGCACCAGAGCCGCCCTGGCTGACCCGGGGCCCGGGAGGCCTCCGCGCCGGTCCCCCCGGTGACCCGGTCCCCCCGTGACCCGCACGCGCTGTAGCCAGTGGCCTCTGTTGCACTTCTCGAGTGGACGCTTCTGGACGGGCTGGCTGCTGCTCCACTTCCTCCCGCGCCTCTGGCCTGGGCTGCGGAAACGCTTCCCGCTCCGCCGACACGCCCAGCCCCGCCGCAGAGCTGGCCGCGGCCCACAGCCTGGCAGGAGGCCTGCCTGCTAACGGGATCGCGGCTGACATCACCGCACTCCCGCTGAAGGTGGCTGTGTCTGCGTGCCTGTGCACACACTCAGAGCTGCCAGGAAACGGGGGGCGGGGGGGTTCCCTCTGATGGTGAAGCCCTTGTCTAGGGTCCCAGCAGGTCAGGCTCGGGGCCTCGCTCCCTAGCGCCCCACAAACAAGCCCATTCCTGCTCCCGTTGTGTGTGTTTTTCTTAAACTCAACTCCAGCGGCTGCCATTCCCTGGAGCCTCGTGCTGTTAGGGCAGCGGTTCTCAACCTGTGGGTAGCGACCCCTTTGGCGGTCGAACGACCCTTTCACAGGGGTCGCCTCAGACCATCCTGCATATCAGATATTTACATGACGATTCATCACAGTAGCAACATGACAGTTATGAAGTAGCAACGAAAATAATTTTATGGTTGGGTCACCACATGAGGAACTGTATTTAAAGGGCCAGAGGGTTGAGAACCACTGTGTTAGGGGCTGTGCTGTGTCTTGAATTGGTTAGCGAACCTGACGCAGGTCCTGGCGTGACCTCTGTTTTGTAGGTGACGAAACCGGGGCTCAGACAAGTGACGCGGCCGCAGGTCCCTCGCCCACAACGAGCAGCCGCCTGCGATTAGCATCCTCGCGTGTCCCTGGGGGTCTCACTCCCGCCGGCCCCTTGGTGGACCGCCTGTCGTCGGCAGGCCAGGCCATGGTTGCTGAGATTGCCTGGGGGCCCAGACCGGTCACGGACGCCAGCCCCTGGGAGGTGCTTAGCATCAGAGGTGCTCGCTGAGTGACCTTCACGGCCACAGGAAAGGACAAGGACAGACCCGCCTTCACAGACACTGTCCCAGCTGCGTGGGCCCCGGGCCAGGTGGGCGGCGATGAGATGGGACAGTGGTCCCTCTGCAGCAGCTCTGTGTTCTGAGCGGTGGCCGCTGCAGGGTGGGTCCCGGAGGTGGCGTGTCTGGGCGGCTTTGGGTCAAGAAGGCGGTGCCCACGGGCAGTGAGGGAACTTGGGGAGATTCTGAAAGGAAGAGGGAATATTAAATCTCACTCCCCGTAGCCCTGGCCTGTCACTGACCAGCTCTCGGTCCTCGGGCGGGTGATGTCGCTGGTCCAGCCTCGTAGCTGAGACGAGCTGCAAGGCGTCCACTCAGAAGATGCTGTGTCCACTCCTGACCGGCTCCGCTGGGCTCTTCACACTCGTGCGTCTGAAGAGGCCGGAGGGGAGCCTGGACCTCACCTCTGTCCTTCCCCCCGGGGGCCACTGGAGTCAGCGTGGTGTGGCCCGGAGCTGAGCTGGGTTTCACGGCTGCATCGCTAGTCTGAGTTGGGAGAACTGGGGCTGTTTGCACCCAGGTCCCCTCGACGCGGCTTTTGCCGTCTCGGCTGCAGACCTTGGTCTCGATGGTGTCTTCACTGGGAGTTGCGTCTGGGGGAGAGCGGGTGCTGCTCACCATCACAGGGCTGCGTGGTCCTTAGGTTTGTTGGCTGAGCTTTAAGTCAACACTGATTTTCTGATATCGAGGTTCTAAGAGCCGTTCCCCAGGGTTTGGGGGGAGCCAGGGTTCTCCATCAGGAAGCTGGGGTGTTCACAGTTGCTCTGTGGATTTGGTGGGGTTTCTGTGGTGGAGTGGAAAGGGCGCTAGCCGCGGGGTGAGACGAGCTGGGTCTGGTTTTAGTCGGGCCCTCACCTTGCCGGTGACCTTGAGCAAGTCACCGTCTGCATGTCTGGTCTCGAGTGCCGGGTTTAGACGAACTGATCTCCGACTGGAAGTCCCACGGCTCTCTGATCAGTAGATCTTGGTTCTTTGTGTCAGTCACGTAGGTTGCGTTTGTAAAGGTTTTGAGGTAAATGGTGGGGAGAAAAGTCGGCAAGCCATGGCTAGTTTGCAGTCCTAAAAAGAAAGTGTAGCTCTGAATTAGATCTGCAAGTTGATTAAAAAAATAAAAAACAACATAAAACTGCCCAGCCTGGCGTGGCTCAGCGTTTGAATGTTGACCTACGAACCAGGAGGTTTTGGGTTCAATTCCCGGTCAGGGCACATGCCGGGTTGTGGGCTCGATCCCCACGGTGGGATGTGCAGGAAACATCATCATTGATGTTCTCTCTCTCTCTCTCTCCCTCTCCCTTCCTCTCTCTGATCAATAAAAATATATTTTAAAAAAACTTTCTACGGCTTCCTGAGACACTTAAATTTGTTGTTGCTTTTTTTTTTTTTTAAATTGGCATGCAATCCACATACCATCCATGTCCCCTTTCTATAGAGTCTAGTTCAGTGAGTGCTTTCAGTCATTCACGGATTGTTCAGCCTCCCCCGTATCCAGTTCCAGAGCTTCTTTTTACACCTGGGAGGAGCCCCACACCCTTAGCAGCCCCTCCCTTCCCCTTCCCTCGGCCCCTGACCACCGCAGTCTTTCTGTCTCTGTAGGTTTCTCTGTTCTGGACATGTCCTGTCATGGAAGCCAGACCATAGAACCGTACACTAGGCGGCCTCGGGTGCCTGGCTTCTGGCACTCAGCAGGCTGTTTTCAAGGTGCATCCCTGCTGTATCATGCGTCTGTGCTTCATTCCTTTTTCTCTCTGAAAAATAGTCCAAAGTATGGATAACTTTTTTTCCCACCTGTTCATCAGTTGATGGACATTTGCGTTGTTTCCCCCGGGGGCGATGATGAGTAGTCTGCTGTGGACATTCTGGTCCCAGGTCTTGGGCAGGTGGATGTGTTCTCAGTTCTGTCGGGCGTACACCGAGGAGTGAGATTGTACACCTCAGTGCTCCCATCGTCACGCTGTTGTCCGCAGGGGCTGCACCACTTCACAGTCTGACAGCAGTTTGGGTTCCAGTTTCTCCGCCTCATGGTCAACACTTACCACCATCTGTCTTTTTATTGTAGCCGCTCGAGGGGGTGGGGAAGCCGGGTCTCCTGGACTTGATGGACATGTCCCTGTGGGTGCCTGCTGGTGCTGCGTGTTCTGAATTCACTGAGCAGATTGGAAGATGTGCCTGCCTGGTCTTTAGATGCAAAATAAGTTAGTGGGAACGTCAGGTGTGTTGGTAGATAGGCTTCGACATCGGCCTCGCTCGGCCGGCCAGGGGCGTGGCGGTCCCTGGGAGGTGCCCAGCCAGGAGCCAACCCGTTGGGTTTGCTGCTTTGGGTTTGCTGCTTTGGGTGGCTCTTTGGTTGCGTCTTTCTGTGAGGTCGTTGCGCTGTTCGGTCGGTCTGTGAGCATCACCCTAGCTTGCTCCCAGGGAGACCGCTCAGTCCTTGACAAAGCTCGAGATGGAGATTCCTGGTTTTCTCCTCGCCTTGTGCGTCCTCCTGTTTGTCTTTTCCTTTTCTTGCAAACGGGATTGGGGTGTGTTTGCTCTGAAGGCTGCTGGGCGGCCGGAACCTGCCCCTCTGTGGCCGAGGCTGTACTTGCCAGGTGACGGCTTCAGGTTTGGAAAGGGTGCTGCTGGGTTGGTCTGTCCCAGGCAGACAAGATGGCTCTTCACGGGCCCCCTTCTTCTCTTCCCTTCTCCACGCTGCTGTTCCCGGCGTTTCCTGGGGGAATCCGTGGCTTATGCTGCAATCGGGGCAGCTTAGCGCTCGCATCTTCCTCCTTTTCCCTGCCTTCTCTCTCCTCTTCACTCATGGGGTGCGTTTTCAAACCTTCGGGGGCCTGGGTTTTCTTTTTCTTTATAATTTTATATATTGATTTGAGGGAGAGAGAGAGGAAGGGAAAGAGAGAGAGAGGGAGAAACATCGATTTCTTCTTCCTCTTATTTGTGGACTAGAGGCCTGATGCACGAAATCTGTGCAAGGGGCTTGGCCCTCACAGCCCCGGCTTCGTCCGAAGGTCGTCCTGAAGGACGTTCCCCTGTTTGGCTGTCCAGTCTAATTAGCATATTATGCTTTTATTATTATAGATTCATTGGCTGCTGCTTGTATGTGTCCTGCCCGCAGATCGAACCCACAACCTTGGGGTATCGGGACAATGCTCTGACCAACTGAGCTACCCGGTCAGGGCCCGTGTTTTCTCTGTCTTCTTTCTTTTTTTCCTTGTGTTTCTTTTTAAAGGAAGCCATTCCCAAGGGGATGGATTGGGGGGGGAGCTTTAACGTGGATTTCAGGCCAGACCTGTCCTCCTGCCTCCTCGTCTGTCACTGCAGCTGTGGCGATGACAGGTTGCGGCCTCCCAGAACCGGGCTTATTGTTGTCCTGTGAGTGCGATTTCTCACCTCCTGTGGCTGCGCTGGGAGGAGCTCGGTGGCTGACGTGCAGCCTTCTTTATGGTCAGAGCAGAGTCAGGGGTCTGATGGGTCTCAGGGCGCAGTTGCTTTAGTTGCAGCTAATAGGACATCTCTCGGGGCTCCCGTTTCATTTGCTCTTTTAATTTATGGGCTCCCTCCCTCCCTCCCTCCCTCCCTCCCTCCAGGCGCCTGGACGAGGGGCCTAGGCCTGCTCCGCCCACAGAGGCGTGAGCTGCTCTGACACTTCCTTACATGTTTGGTCTGAAAGAGGGAGTCACAGTGGCCGCCGAGGAGTATTTCAGAAATTTGCTATTGTTTTTCCAAAAAAGCCCCACACAAATGTGCTATCAGGCTGAATAATTGGAGCCGGCAAGACAAGGGCATGCTAGACCCTGGAAGGAAACAGAGGCCCTGTAAGAGGAGAGCGGCGACTGGGAAGCCCGTTGGGTCTCTGTGGCGTCAGTGACCCTCGGGGCCTAGAAAAGGCGTGCGGCCTGCCGGTGCGGCTCGGTTGGCTGAGTGTCGTCCCGACACCGAAAGGTCATGGGGCCGATTCCGGTCAAGGCACGTGCCCAGCTCGCAGGTGGGTATGGCCGGCAACTGATCAGTGTTTCTCTCTCTCCCTTTCCCTTCCTCTCGCTCTAAAATCAATGAAGGATTGACTTAGGGTTCCAGATCCTCCACCTCATTGGGTAAGGATTCTTTTTTTAAATACAAGACCTTACAGTTAAAGAGAAACAGCAGAGGCCCGGTGTACAGGCGGAGGCCGTGGAGGGAGGGAGAGAGGACGAGACTCCTGGCCCCCGAGGGTCACTGGGAGCCACAGCAGGTGCGATGCTTGCTGTCAAGGCTGGTCCTTAAGGCGAGTCAGAGGCAGCGGCTGCGGCGGGAGGGGAGCCTGTCCTCCCGAGGGGCGGCCCCGTGGAGAGACTGAGGTTTCCTGGGCGGTTTTGACGAGCTTTAGTTCACGGAGAAAGTTAATTATGTGGCGTGCCTCCTGCCTGCAGTGTTGGCCCGAATGCCGCGCAGGAGGGGACAGGCGAGTCCGTCTGTCTGCAGGACACACGGACGGACGTGAGGGCAGCCGGACCCCGTCTGCTGCCTGGAGCGCGGGACGGCAGGATGAGCCCCGTGGTGTCCCCGCTGACCTGTGAACCCCAGGACCTCCTTGGAGTTGGGAAGCTTCAGAATCCAAGCTCCCAGTGGCCATGTGTTCAGGCGGGACCCCCTCCGGCTGTGCCTGGGGCAGGAATGAGTCTGCCTTGTCTCCCCGTCCTCAGAGCCCAGCATGCTGCCCAGCACAGGGTCTCGGGAAATGTTGAAGGTCAAGGTCTAGGTCATCTTCTTCATTCTGTGGTTTTCTGCCTCCCCCTAAAGCAGCGGTTCTCAACCTGTGGGTCATGACCCCTGAAAATCCATCCTGCATATCAGGTATTTACATGACGATTCATAACAGTAGCAACATTACAGTTATGAAGTAGCAATGAAAATGATGTTATGGTTGGGGGTCACCACAACATGAGGAGCTGTATTAAGGGGTCGCGGCATTAGGAAGGTTGAGAACCACTGCGCCTAAAGGGTTTGCTGTACGTGTAGAAATCAGTGTGTTTGATGTGCAGAGTCAAGGTTGTGGTGCCAGCCTTTGAAACGATCAGAGGACCAGGAAAATGGCAGTTGAGAGCCATCAAATCTCTACCCTGTAACACATCCCAGTGCAAGTACAGTTTCTTCATGGAACAATGTGTCCGTCATGCCTTCCCTTCTGCAACGCCATCCCCAGCACACCCAGCCCATCAGAACCGCGTGCTTTCCTCGACTCTTAGAGCAATCGGTCTTGGACTATCTCGGTTCATCTCTTTTGATCCATCTGTCCATAGAGCCTTCAGTCCACTGATGGGTCCATCCGTTGGTCCATCTGTCCATCCACCCATCTGTCCATAGAGCCTTCAGTCCACTGATGGGTCCATTCGTTGGTCCATCTGTCCGTCCGCCCGCCCGTCCCTGGGACAGACCTGGGATGTGTGCCACCTCCTTCAGTCCCTCCTTGTCGGAGCGCAGGCTGCGGGGGAGGACGGGTGTTGGGCGCCTGTGTCCTGCGGGCCGGACCCCGAGGCCCTCCCCCCTGGCAT